AACAGGTCGAGACCACTACCTTATATGGATGCAATTTTTAACACGTGACAATGTCTTCGTCACACCCGTTGTCCAATCAAGCGACTGATTCCCAAAGCATGACAGTCTACTACGTGTTTATTATTCAATGGCGACACGTGGTTTTCGTCGGTTTGTTGCACAATATTTACCTCGTCATCGGAAAAACTGTAGAGCTTCTTTGTCACTTTATAAGACCGAAATTGAAAGATTATATTCTAAAGACATTGCTCCATGCTCACATTTAATATTGGAGTTGTTTTAGATGATTAATAGTTGCTTCTAATACCGTAGAAATGCTTTGACGTTTGCATGTACATTAAACACTTTCTGATAATATTGTGGAGTTAAATAATAATTGCACACCCTCTCCTGGTGTCTAAAACCAAGGCCCTATGTACTACCTGCTAAAACTATGTTCACGTATATCACGTGGAGAAAAACTCAGTGTATCGACACGATAGCACTTATGTCTCTTTGAACAATGTTTATAGGCCGATTTTTTATAAGTTGATATAAGGCTTCATAGCGCAAATTTTGTAAATGTGAGCATAGAAATGAAAGATTATACATCATTTTAAATATTTCTTTCACAAATCTCAAAAAAGAATTGGAAATAAGTTCCCAAGGAACAAATCAAGTTTCCTTTTATTTTTAACATAACTGGGTACTAGTAGTAGCCCACAATGCATTGCGGTTCATTCATCTGTAGGTAAAGTAAACAGATATGCAAATTTATGCTGACGTCAGAAATTCTAGTGGTCTCGACCTGTTCAACTGAAGTTGATTTTCTATACTTGGGAACCGAATTAGATGCCGAAATCACAATTTATCAATGGCACAATGCTCCTAGAACTCACCAATAGCGATGAATAGAAATTACCACTCCACATTCCGATTAAGAACTTGCACGATTTAAAATGCACGAAATGAAAACAAATCTCTACAGTCAGAAAAAAATATTTTCATCAGATCGTATATTTTATTAACGAACCATAAAAACGATGTTGGTGAGTACTTAAAGTATTGTACTATTGATAATATTTGAATTCAGCATTTAATTCGGTTTACAAGTATCGAAAATCAACCTCTGAATGCCGCCTCCGGTTGGAGGCGGCGATTTCCCAGTTTTCGTAATGGCGCCGGTTCTGACGTTTTCCTGGCATGTAAAATATCAAAATCGTAAAAAAGCCAGAAAAACGTCAGATTTTTCGGACTAGTAAAAATAATGGAATGATTTCATTTGATAAATTTTATTTAATTAATTCATATGAATTTCATACAAGACACAATAAACTACAAGTATCTATAATATAAAATGAAAGAATTTTTTCCACATGTAAGATCGTTTTGAAGACATGCGTACATTCTTGAAATACATTCATAAGAATGTATCCCTTTCGAAAAAAATGTTTTCAAGGTCATGGATATAAATAATGATCAAGGCAGCGAGAGTGTCACTTGTACTAGTAGTAATTCAGTATGATTTGCAGTGGCAGATCCAGGGGGGGGGGGGTACGGATTAGCAAAAAAAGGAAGAGAAGAAAGTCACCCATTTTGATGTGTTTTACCTAGTAATAAAAAATGTTCAGTGAAAGGCTATGTTGTAATATATAAAGAAATTCGGTTGAGAATACATAATTAAACCCCACCCTCTTTACAAAACAAGAATTTCGGGTTCGGAGATATATTTGCCTTTCTTTTTCAAAAACTTTCAGGTATATTATACAAGTAGATCTACTTTTTCCCAGATTGATCAACCTCCCACTTTTAAAAGAAACCAAACTGTGTAAAACATATAATAAATCCTTTCCCCTTTACCCCCCCCCCCTCCCCACCCCAACGCCTTTGAAAAACTCCTTTAATCCCTCCTTCGAAAAATTTCTAGATCCGCTAAACAGTTTTTATTATTTTCGTTCTCCTGGACCTGACTAAGGATAAATGTGACTTGACAATACATTGATAACAGTCAATACATTGAGATGCCATTAGTGTAATTTTATCATTCTAACAATGCCACCTTTTTCTACACTACAGGACTACTCTGATCATGGACCCCCGTACCAGTGGCCAGGATTTGATGCGATGTGACCTGTGTGAGACCGCTGTGGTACAGATGCACTGTGATACATGTCTTGTCAACCTATGTAAGGCCTGTGTAGGAGAGCACATGGTATCTGTTGAATCCAAAAGACATGAAGTTGTTCAATTCAAGCTTAGAAAATCTACGCTGCTCTTCCCTGGGTGTAAAATTCATGACAAACAACAATGCACAATTTACTGTAATTAATGTGACATTCCTGTGTGTAATACCTGCCTTGCTTCTGATCAACATTTAGGTCATAAATTATCAAAAATATTACAAGTTCTCGATGCAAAAAAGGAAAACATAATTAAAGAAAAAATTGAGCTAAATAAGACAATTTACCCAACCTACCAGGACATTGCCTCTGATGTACAAAACAGAATGAGTCAGTTAGAAAAGGAATATGGAGATCTCTCAACAGCCAATTAACAAAACATGAAGAGGACTGGCACAGAGAAATTGACAAACTTGTCCAGAAACTTAAAGCTGAAGTTGATGAGATGAAAAACACACAATTACAAATTCTACAGAAACATCTGGATGAAATAAACAAGACAATGTCTGACATCAAGGATGAAATCGATTCACTTGATGTTGCTGTGGAATCTAATGACTTGTCAAAACTATTTAAACTTGCATTCAGTGTAGAGAGATATAGAAATCTTCCACAAAAAGTTCTGCCATCTTTACCTACATTCACGCCATGCAAAATCAAAGGACAAGATCTTAGTAAAATATTTGGAACTTTATCGTCGAGTTCTTTAACATACCCTTACCAAAATATTGACCTTCTGGCAACATCTTCTGGCTTTATTGCCGCAATATTGCAGCAACATTCTGGCAATACATTGCTGCAATATTGCGGCTATATCGTTTTTCGTATGTAAATTAGTTTTGCGGCAATATTGCCAGAAAGGGGTTGCGGCAATATTGCTGCAAATCATGACCAAAATATTGATCTTCTGGCAACATCTTCCGGCATTATTGCCGCAATATTGCGGCTATATCGTTTTTCGTATGTTAATTAGTTTTGCGGCAATATTGCCAGAAAGGGGTTGCGGCAATATTGCTGCAAATCATGACCAAAATATTTTCTTCTGGCAACATCTTCCGGAATTATTGCGGCAATATTGTTTTTTGTATGTAAGTTAGATATAAATTGGTATTTAATAGAAATAATGATCTAATCAATCTAACAATTAACAAACTGTGCTGAGGAATATAACAAACAATAGCGAGCCACAGGGTCAATAAGAAATAGCTACTTCTGCTAGAAAATAATGTTGATCATCAGAATGAAAATCAAGATATGTTTGTGAAACACTATGCGCCTGGTGGCTATAAAGTTTGAAAAAGCTATTTATAGCATATGGGTCACAGTCAAGGTCACAAGGTCATTGATCTTGGTGTCATTTGAAAGAACTTAATTAGTGGAGTATACATACTAAGTATGAAGTCTCTATCTCTTATAGTTCAAAATTTATGGCAGAGGATCAAAATGGCTATTTTTAGCATATGAGTCACAGTAAAGGTCAAATTGTCATTGACCTTGGTGTTATTTGAAAGAGTTTAAATAGTGAAGGGTGTATACCAAATATGAATTCTCCATCTTTTATGACTCAAAAGTTATGTCGAAGTTTCAAAAAATCTATTTTAAGTATATGGTCACAGTCAAGGTCCCAAGGTCATTGACCTTGGTGTTATTTGAAAGAGCTTAATTAAGGAAGGGTGCATACTTAATACACGTTCTCTATCTTTTATGGCTCAAGATTTATGTCCAAGGTTCAAAAAATCTATTTTAAGGATATGGGTCACAGCCAAGGTCTCAAGGTCATTGACCTTCAGGTGTCTTTTGAAAAAGCTTAATTAGTGAATTATGCAAGCTAAATATAAAGTCTCTATCTTCATTAATTTTAAGTTATGGTGAATATTCGAAAAAGCTATTTTTAACATATAGGTCACAGTCAAGGTCACAAGGTCATTGACCTTGATGTCATTTGAAAGAACTTAATTAGTGGAGTAGATATACCAAATTTGAAATCTTTATCTCTCATTGGTTCAAAAGTAATGGTGAAGGTTAAAGTTTACAAACAGACAAGACAAAAACAATATGTACCCCCGATCTATCAAGACGGGCGCATAAAAAATGTTTATATAGAAACAATATTAATATGCCACTGTGCAAATGTCCAGCAACTCTGCATTAATTTTCAAATATATACATGCTTTAATTCATCTTTTCCTGCTACTCTAGGATATATAGACATACAAGTCTGAGTAGTATGCATGCATCACAAGCACTAATTGAAACACATATAATTTTTCCAATTTTATCTCCATTGAATCATTCATCTCAAAAAGAATATTGGTTTTGACTCACCAAGTCTGATGATATGGAAACAGAGTACACATTCCTATAATTCTGCTTAAATTCTTTTTTCTAGTCATTCCACACTATGCAGTCTTACTACTCATCTTCACTAATCCCACTGTACACATTTAACAACTCTAATTAACTTAATACAAGTCAGTAATGAAGCAAAACATGCTTGCCTTTGAATTCCCTCCACTTTATTTAAAAAGAGGAAGTAAATGACTGAGCATGCTCAACAAATGGCTCATGGGTAATCCTAGATGTTGCCAGAAAGTTTTTTTCTGGCAGTATTGCCAGAATGTCACCGGAAGTTGTTGCAGCTAGCGGTGATATTTCATTTTTTCTGGCAGTATTGCCAGAATGTCACCAGAAGTTGTTGCCGCTAGCGGTGATATTTCACTAACCCAAAAAGCTTGTTTCTGGTGACAAAAATGTGTTGCTGCAATGTTGCCGCAATATAGCGGCAATATTGCTGCAATAATTTTACTTTGGTAAGGGATATCTGATAAACATGGCTACAGCATGAAGACACCACAGAAATCATTAGAAGCTGGATCCTCTCCTCCAGTCAAACAGCTGCTTGATGTACCAGAGACTGTCAGCACCATAGACACTGGGTATGATGATTACCTTTACAGTGTGGCCTGTCTGAGTGAAGAAGAAATCTGGACAAGAGGATATAGCAGCACCATGAAACTCCATAGCATCAATCAGGGATCACTACTCAAGTCAATCACAACTAAGTCAGGGGACGAACCACACGACATAGCAGTGACAAAAAGTGGAGATCTAGTTTATGCTGATAACATTGATGGAACTGTGAACATTGTGAAGAATGAGAAGATAGAGGAGGTGATCAAACTACAGGACTGGGTACCTCACGGTGTCTGTAGTACCACCTCTGGTGACCTCCTGGTTATCATGGTCAGTGATGATAAAAAACAAACAAAAGTTGTCCGTTACTCTGGCTCCACAGAAAAACAAACCATTCAGTTTGATGATAAAGGTAAACCTCTCTATTCATCTAGACGTTATGACAGATACATAACTGAGAACAGGAACCTGGATATCTGTGTGTCTGACTGGGGATATAAAGCAGTAGTGGTGGTCAATCAGGCTGGGAAACTGAGATTCAGGTACACTGGACATACTCCTTCTCTAAAGAACAATTCATTTGATCCACTAGGAATCACCACAGACAGTCAGAGTCACATCCTTACAGCTGATTATTACAATAACTGTGTCCACATCATAGACCAGGATGGACAGTTCCTCCGTTACATTGACTGTGGACTGAGTAAACCCTGTGGACTGTGTACAGATACAAATGACAATCTGTTTGTTGCTGATCAGTATAGAAAAAGACAAGTGAAGGAAATCAAATATCTAAGTGAAATTTAACAGTGTACCAGTACATATTAAAATGTTTTAAAAATAAATTTCTTTTGTGTTTCAACATCATTAAGAGAATTAAATCAAATCAAATAGCCACAGACACAACATAAATTAAACAGTTACAGGTTACTGGAGAATTGTGTATCGCATTAATTAAGTCTAATGCTATCAATACTGACTTGAGTAAATGAAGTATTGAATACTGGTAGGCATATAAGCATTATTCAAGGTAAAGAAATCCCTCGGTTTACATCATTCCTGTCAATTGTTAGAAAAATTATTTGATACTATGATAATTCCCATTTTGCTTTATGGGAGCGAAGTACGAGGTATTGACTTCGTCCAAAAAAATTATGGCTCAGCATCTTATGAATAATTTCATATTAAATTTTTAAAAGAAATCCTAGGAGTCCACTGTAAAACTTCAAATAACGGTTGCTATTCTGAACTCGGGAGACTCCCAGTCAGATCAAAAATAACTATGTTTGCTATCAAATACCTTGATCATTTAATTTCAATGGAACATACATTGGCACATGAAATTTTTATCAAAAATAAAGAAACTAACACATGGTCTCTATGTTTAAAAACTTGTCTTAATAACTTAGGATTTTCTTATTTAACAAATTTAAATATGTCAATGAAACCAGTGCTTAGCATTATTAAACAACGCATTCATGATCAAATATTACAAGAACAAAATGCAAGTATTATGAATTCCTCAAAACTGTCTTTTTATCAGAACTTTTGTCTTAATAATAAACGTGCACATTATGTTGACAAACTAGAGTCACTGCATGATAGATCATTTTTAGCAAAAATTAGATTAAGTGCACATAACTTAGAAATTGAAAAAGGTAGATATGTTGAAACTAATAAAAATGATAGGATATGTAAAGTATGTCAAAACTTTGATATTGAGGATGAAAAACACTTCATTTTGCTATGTCCAAAATATGAAGCACAGAGAAAAATATTCAAAACAAAATTATCCACTTTCCCTAACTTTAACCAAACAATTGATAATAATGACAAATTGTTAAAAGTATTGATGAATACTAGTTGTAAAAAGGTTCTTAAAATATTATCATCATTTTTATGTCAAATATCTGATATAACAAAAAAAATTCTTTACTCATAAATGAGTATAACTATATTGTACTGAATCATATGTATGTATTTAGTATTTGATAAGCACAATACATAATTTGCTACACCAATTGTTTGTATCCTGTTGTGTTCTACTGTATTTTCATACTTTATATCACTATGTTTGTGTTTGTGCCAATAAAATATTTGTATTTGTATAATTTTGTTCAGACAATGTAACAAAGTAATTTACGAGTCGCTGGTAAAACTCAGTTTGTGACAGTTAAATCAGCATTAACAGTTGCAAATGCCAAATAAAAATATAGTTATTCCCTATATCAAAACATGCACATGTTCTCCCCTTTCTCAGAATACTAAAGGGTATCACATATTTAATATTTTTAAAGATTTCGTTAAAAAAAATAAGAACATGTGTTATTTAATTTATCAGCACAGATTTCAGTGTCATATAATTATATAAAACAATGCATGTCAGATATATTAATTCCATGCTTGAAATAAAAACTGTCATAAAGTTTGACATATTTTATTTTAAAAATACTTTTCACATTGACAATTTCAATGTTTTGATAAGGATGTACATGTATTAAATGCGTAGCAAATATAGAAAGCAGTCACAACTCCATTTCTGTCATGTTTTTCAAAACCGTAAAATTTCCATCTACAACAAGTAATCATATCTTGTAATCATATAATTCTTTAAAATATGTGGTAAATATACACAGATAGTATCAATAAATATGGCACTCTTTCCATTTTTTTTTAATTTTCATTAAAATTTGTTGAAATATCAGCTCAGGTCAGACCTCAAGGAAGATTAATTCTCATGTTTCTTCCATCTTTCTTATCCTTAAAGTCCTTTGTGTGTTGAAGTCTCTCAGTTTGTCACCTTCCAGCCTAAATGTCCCCCTAAGAAAATAAAAGTCATAATCAAATAAAAATAACTATAATTTTATTCAACCTCCCCATAGAGAAAGAAGCCATGATCAAATGAAAGATACATGTATAATATATTATCCCATGTTTACTCCTTTATCCCGTTGATATAGCTCATGTGATATCGGTTTCGTATCACACAGTTGTGACGTCACAATGGGTATTGCGTTAAAGTGATGAAGTAAAATGAAGTGGAGTCCTATTTAAAACCAGTGTTAAACATAAATTTGTGGTGTGAAAAAAATGGGATAAAAAGAATCTCACATGAATTATAGTTAGATATCTTTTTTATCCAACTCGTTGTGTGTTTTTATCCAATCGCCAAGGCTTGGGGATAAAAAGCACACAACTCGTTGGATAAAATCATATCCAACTACAAATCACAGGGCTCAACATTAACTTTAAAATTAACTAGACCAGTCGGACTAGTAGCTGGAAAATTTACTAGACCTGACCTCAATTTCACTAGACCTGACCTAATATCTGTGGTTTACTGAATTAATATTAAATCTGAAAAAAAAATATCATGAAGAGAAAAACGCATAGTTGAATAACATTGTCAGTGTAAGCAAATTGATGCTTATCATTTAACTTGGTTTTGCTGCAAAAAAAATTAAAGAAAATAATGATTAATAAATTCAAGAAAATATCAGAAAGGGAGATGTATTTCAATTCGATTTGGTTCTATGATTGGTTAAATGAAATAACAGCATGCAACAGTTGTTGAGCAGAAAGGAAAAATCTTGGTATAGATAGCATTTATAATTAAGAGAAAGTCAAATGACAGCATGATTTATGAAATATTGATATGTATACTAAGGAATAAAATATGTTTGTTTCCTGTAATCATGGTAATATTACCCTAAAAACAAGAGTTTTTTTTGGCTTAATACGATCTCATAAATTGACATAAGAAACTTCCCAGTTTAAAAACTTTTATTTTCAATTTGCATAATGCCTAAATAAGGGGGTCAAACATCCCGGACTGAACGAACCAGGTTTGATATTTACAGTGGACACCAATCATGGCTGTCTTGCGGTAAAAAACGAAGTTCCAAAAGTTGTTTGGGATTGCTAAATGATATAATGATTATAATAACTTTTTATATTGAAAGTGAATGTTGACTAGGATGACATATTTCATATCTCAAATATTGTATCAGCTGATTGATCAAACACAGATTTGGCAGAAAAAAATCTATCGGCTGCATTTTGAGTCAGTTGGATTACATTTACAGCAATACAGGAAACAAACGTAATTTTTTTTAAGTTCATAATTTTTTTTAGTTGGGATCAAAAAATGAAAATAAAACCTGATTGTAAACATCGATAAACAAGAAAAATCTGTAAATTTGTTGCAAGTTTTGCTTCATTTGAACTTTGGTTGAAATATTTTTACACGACCAGTCGGGCTACCATGAAACAAAATAAACTAGACCGGACCTAACTTTTACTAGTCTGAGTCGGTCGGACGTGCCTTAATGTTGAGCCCTGAAATCATGTGAGATCCTATATTTATCACTTTAACAACCTCTCTTTTAATATTTGGTTCATCCAGCAGAAATAAGTACATGTACAAGTATGACTGTCTACTAATAACTGTGGTACACGTAGCATTTCCTAAGTGTTTAACATATTATCAGATTATTTTAGAGATTTTATCATGCAGAAACAAATTTAAAAATTGTCATACTGAGTATGTCCCTCCTGAATGGTCAGTATGGTCCTTTTGAGGGCCACACTGTCTTCTAGTTGTAAGGCACTGACCCCTGTAAGGGGCCTCCACTTCCCCGCCTCGTCACTGACCTCCCACCTCGGGGACCCGGAATCTGAGGATTATTAAATTTAACATGTATATATATATATATACTCGAAAAATGTAGTAAACACTGGGTTATGAATGAGATGTTTCGACTTTCCATTGAGAATTAAAAAAAAAAACACTTTATTTGTGATCATATGTTAAAAATGAGTGTAAGACCAATTGAAAGAAGAAGGTATTGTTTCCATTCAAATTTTGCCCTGTGATTTTCTAAAAAATGAAACTGGTGTAAAAGTTTAAAACTCCTGATTTTTAAAAAATTGAAATTCAATACAGAAAAATCATACAAGTCATTTTTCTCACGTGTTTTAAAATGCTAATCATGACGTCATAAACATGTACATTTTCTCATATTTTCTTAAAAAGTTGCAGAAGACACCAATTTTCAATGAAGTTTTCTTTCAGATAATATTGTCCACAGGCATCGCCCACAAAGATCTTGAGATATGTGATTTGTTATTGAATTTTGCACAAAATATCAAAAAATAAACGTGGGCGACGGCTGTTGAGTGGACACTGTTTTCTAAAGGAAAATCACCCTTGAAATGTGCCATTTTGGGGCTTTTTCTGTTGAAAATAGAAAAATGCTTCACATAAATGACGTCATATTTGCAGAATGGTAAATCTTCATGCCATATTCTTTCCTGATTCATTAGAGTCATTTATTTAACTAATATTTAAGCAAGTTTCAAAACTTTTTGATGTCATTACATATTTAGGGCGCAATAAAGCTAAAACCATACCTTCTTTTTTTTTAAATATTAATTGCACAGTCTTGCTACATGAATATTGATACAATCAGAAATCAATATCTGTTTTTAACTAAGGAATTACCTCCCTACCCCCCCCAATATATACATGTACTACCAAATTCTCGGTGTAGGCCCCTAAAACTTTTTAAGTCATTTCTTGTAAGTATAAAAAATAATGTTTCATCACTGATATAATGTGCAAGTGATAAATCATTACCAATTAGGCCTTCAAAGTCAATGAGAGGAGATTCTCTACAAAGGAAAAAAATGGTAATAAATAAAGTTATCACTGATTACTAGAAATATAAATTTAAATAAGACAATTTTTATGGCCCTATCCCAAATATATGAAAAGTATTATTTTTGAAATAAGGCTTCAAAATAATCAACAGACACATCTCTCAAACTTACGCAACGTCAATGTCAAATCTTTCTTGATCTCCAAATCGGTAAACATTCAATTCATGTGCAGCTAATGGTGAACGCCAGCATACCTGTTGTAAGGAGAAATTTAGAAAAAATTAATGTTTATATCCATAAAAGATTATATCTAACTAGTCACTATAAACAAGTGTAAACTAAATGTAAATTGCGCCCCCCCCCCAAAAAAAATTTTTTTGATTGACATAATATTTTATTGAACAATTTACAACACAGTTAAAAAAAAAGAACTACATTTAATACTACAAAATAATAAATGATAAAGAACCCCCCCTAGTTTTCCCTATTACATGTATAGTCCTTGTAAATCAATTTTAATCTGATAAGTTTTAACAAACACAATTATATTTACATAAATGTTGTTTGTTTGAAAAGAGTACAAGTATTTTGTATATGGGAAAAAATTGTGAGGATAATTTTTGCAATTTATCAACCTATTTACCTAAAATCTATTTTTTTTTCTTTTCCAAAAAAAAAAAAAATGAAAACAGGACCATCCTCTACTAACACAAAAACAGAATTAGGATTTAACATGTTTCAAGAAAAAATTTGAATATCCCTCCATCTGATGACAGAAACCTAGCTGGCAAGGAGTAATTCTGCAGATGTGCCTGGTTGACAGGGATGCTTACTCCTCCATGACACCTGATCCCACCTCTGGTGTTTTTAGATGTCTGTATTTGCTCTGTTGTTTTAATGGCCCTTTGAGCTTGATTACTGTCCATTATCTTTAGAGTTCATTCAGAATGTCTGATTGCATTTCACAGTGGTTAATTTTCACATACCTTGACTAGCCGTCCTCCATCTTTGTTGATGATGACGACTCCTATTTCATCTGGACCACCATCTTGATCGTCATAATTCCAATGTCTGCCTGCAATAGTGTTTAAATAATAAAGTTATCACTGCATCAACATTATAAATCAATATAATTTGATAAATTCTTAGTATAATTTTTTTTTATTACACCCAATCCAAATACATATATAAAGAAAAGTGCATCAAAATTTACCTTGTAATGTAAAATTTGAACTGTGAAATTGTTACATTCAATGGTTAGTTTTAAGTGTCTATGCCACAAAACATTGAACAATGGCCTCTTGTTTACCTCTTCTGACCAGTGTTCCTACAGGTAAAGCTGCATAACCCGCGTCCGGGATGGATTTGTAGAACAGTAGGTTCTCCTGGTCAAATGTCCAGCGGTGGTATACCTTATCTCCAGTGTCCAAAACAACAAGAACATACTGGGTCTCTGAAAAAAACAAGCAAAATAGAAGGACTATAGATATTTCACCAACATTAGATTTAGTCTAGCTACCATGATAGAAAATTTTGTAAGGAATCGTCGTCTATAATTTGTTGGGTATGCCAGGGCATCAACGCTAGTTGGAAATATGGGATAAGAAAACAGAAAGAAATCAAATTTTGCTTCTATGCTAAATTGATGCTGACACAAGATATTTTGAAAAATGTTTGAAATTTCTTGTAGATTACAAACTTTAAAGAAGACCTATGTCAAAAATGAGAGTGTACGGAACATTAACTTTATGGTGAGCCTGACAATCATCGAATCCATTTCCACATCTTTTATTTGAAGCCTGTATTTGTTCTTATCATCATCATATTCTTTTTCTATTAATTAACTTTATTTATTCAAACTTATTCATATAATCAGTATATATACATATTTTCTCAATATCTGTGAGCCTATGAAAAAAGATATATTATAACACACCCACCCCAAACCAACCAAACTTTAACACATCTATTTTCCAAACATTTCCAAAATTAAGTCAGAACATTGTAATTTTCAGGTGATGCTCAGCTGTAGGATGTATATGAGGATACATGATATCCTCTAGTTTTGTACATACTTGTGTCCTGTTCCTCTTTCCTCCCCTTGATGTGCTGTAGAATCGTTCCTGTTGGCTGAGCTATAGACTCTGCACCAGAAACCTTAACTCGCGTCCCGATTGGTGGAGGCTTTTTAAAATGTTCTGTGATGAACCATTCAATTCTGTTGATCTCTTTCTGCCATTGAAATTTACAAACATATATTGGTAAACCTAAGGTAGACAATAGTCATAGAACAAAACTGATGAAGAACCAATTTTTAAGTGGAAGACACGCACTTAAATTCAATATCTACAACTCCAGAGTGTTTAGATGTACCTTGTTTTACTCTACCAATCACAAAAAAAAACACAATATAGAAAGCCAATAATAACTCACCGTCTCCTGTTTTTTCTTCATAAGGTCCTTTTTTATTGCCTGCCAGGATTTAGCGGGAGTTTGTGGTTCCTTAGGTTCCAAGATGGCTGACATCACTCTTCCTGTTAGAGTCTGAATATAAAATTTTAAAGTATTTGTCATCATGATGGGTTTTATCTTTTAAAATTAATCAATTAAGGTCAGACAAGACGTTCCTCAAAATCTGTTTTGTATATTTTTGTAATGTATGAAAAATATTCAAAATTTTAATAGCATTTTGATTTCTAAACCAGTTTCTAAACGTTTTTAAAAAATCCAAACACTTTTACATTTGAAATTCGAAATTTTTTTTTTCTTCCCCAAAGGATTATATAAGAAAAACTACCCCTGGTATTTTGCAGAAATACCTGGTAAGGTACATCAGTTTTTTGTGTATAAACATGTTTTAGTAGCAATATTTCAATGACAAATTCTTAGAAAAATTTAACTATTATTAAGGAACGTCTCGTCTGTCCTTAAATTTAGTTTTGTTAAATCTGATCAAAATATTATCACAAGTTATTTTTCCTATGATTTTTAAAAAGATTTTTTAAATAAATGTCATTTTACATAAGTATATGCTTTGAACTTAAAATGTTTGAATAAAACAAAATACACATGATGTACTAAAACTAATTTTACCTCTGTTGCTATGGAATCAGAAAGAAAATCTACATCCTTAACAACTGTCACCATGTCAACCCAGCTTGAACTCTGTTAAAAATATAATGGTAATTGTAACAAGAGGCCCATGGGCCACATCGCTCACCTGAGAAGCTTTGACCATTCTGTTCTTTACCAGATTTCCACCTTGTTATACATAATGCATCCCCACCCTACCCCACTGATCATAATTTAGACATTTTGCAATCTACACTACCCCATGATCCTTCCATGGGCACATATGTTTCAGCTTTTTTGGCCCAGTGGTTCCTGAGAAGAAGATTTTCAAAGATTTTCCTTTATATTTCTATGTAAAACTTTGATTCCCTATAATGGCCCCGCCCTTCCCATGGGGGTCACGATTTGAACAATTTAGAATCTACACTTTACCAGGATGCTTCCACATAAGTTTCAGCTTTCCTGGCCCAGTGGTTCTTGAGAAGAAGATTTTCAAAGATTTTTCCTATATATTTCTATATAAAAAATTCAATTCCCCATTGTGGCCCCGCCCTTCCCCCGGGGGTCACGATTTGCACAATTTAGTATCTACACTATACAAGGATGCTTCCACAAAAGTTTCAGCTTTACTGGCCCAGTGGTTCTTGAGAAGAAGATTTTCAGAGATTTTTCCTTTATATTTCTATGTAAAACTTTGATACCCCATTGTGGCCCCGCCCTTCCCCCAGGGGTCACGATTTGAACAATTTAGAATCTACACTATACCAGGATGCTTTCACATAAGTTTCAGCTTTACTGTCCCAGTGGTTCTTGAGAAGAAGATTTTCAAAGATTTTTCCTATATATTTCTATGTAAAACTTTGATACCCCATTGTGGCCCCGCCCTTCCCCCGGGGGTCACAATTTGAACAATTTAGAATCTACACTATACCAGGATGCTTCCACATAAGTTTCAGCTTTTCTGGCCCAGTGGTTCTTGAGGAGAAGATTTTCAAAGATTTTTCCTATATAATTCAATATAAAACTTTGATTCCCCATTGTGGCCCCGCCCTTCCCCCGGGGGTCATGATTTGAACAATTTAGAATCTGCACTACCCCAAGATGCTGTCACATAAGTTTCAGCTTTACTGGCCTAGTGGTTCTTGAGAAGAAGATTTTTTAATGACCCAACCCTATTTTTGTCTTTTCTTGATTATCTCCCCTTGCGAGGGGACATGTCCCTTCATTTTAACAATTTAAATTCCCCTTCACCCAAGGATGCTTTGTACCAAGTTTGGTCAAAATTGGCCCAGTGGTTCTTGAGAAGAAGTCGAAAATGTGAAAAGTTTACAGACAGACAGACAGACAGACGGACAGACGGACGGACAGACAGACGGACGGACGACGGACAAAATGTGATCAGAAAAGCTCACTTGAGCCTTCGGCTCAGGTGAGCTAAAAAAACTTTATAGAATCATTGTCATCTTGAATGAAAGGAATTCAAAAAAAAAATGGTAGTGCTGATATTGAATCAATAGATATATAGTACCATTGAATTTATAACTCACAGTATCTAACTGTTCTCCTACAGGAACAAAGTAGATGGGAACATGAATATGCAGAGCAGCCATCACTTCCAAAACTGATGCAAACAGGCTGTCAGTCTGAGAATGAGACAATTGTAAACAAGAAATCTGAGAGCCTATGCTTAATAGTAATAGCCCCGCTCTGATGTGGAAATACAGTATCATGTCAATAAATGGGTATATGCACGGAAAATTGGATTTTGATATCAGATTCATATGAAAATGAATCCCATCACACAGCATGCCTCAACAAAGAATGTACTAAAATTTCAAGCATCTGTATTGAGTACAGCTGAGAAAACTGTGACAAAATTTGTTAATTTATGAAACGGACAGATGCACTTACAAACAGGAAGTTGACATCGGATCTGAACAAGATTTAATCCCACCATATAGCATGCCTTATCAAAGAGTGTGCAAAAATGTTAAGCATCTGTGATGAGTATTTGCTGAGAAAACTGTGACAAAAATTTGTTATGCATGAAACATGTATGAACAGACAGATGCACGGACGAACAGGAAGTTGTCATTAGATTTGAACAAAAATCAATCCAACCATATGGCTTGTCTCAGAGAAGATTGTTTCAAAATATCAAGCATCTGCAATGAATAGTTGCGGAGAAAACTGTGACGAAAATTCATTATGTATAAAAACATGTCTGAAATGGACAGACACACAGACGAACAGGAAGTTGACATCAGATTTGAACAGAAATAAATCCCACCATATGGCATGCCTCAGAGAAGATTGTGTTAAAATTTCCAGAATCTGCAATGAGTATAGTTGCTGAGAAAACTGTGACAAAATTTTGTTATGTATGAAACGGACAGACACACGGATAAACAGAAAGTTGACATCGGATTTACACAAAAATGTATCCCACCATATGCCATGCCTCAGAGAAGATTGTATCAAATATCAAGCATCTGCAATGAGTAGTTGCTGAGAAAACTTTGACAATATTTGTTAACGGACCGACAGATGGACAGGTAGACAGACGGAAAGACAGACAGTCACACAAGGGTTAAACAGTATACCCCCCTCTCCTTCAGAGCGGGGGTATAATAATTATTTCAATAAATCAAATTACTTTTTTTCTAAAAAAGATAATGAAAAGTCAGAGTAGCTTTCAACGTTACTTTACATATTTGTACATGTATATAACGATCATATTTTATATAACACCTCCCTTACCCTAGAACATGGCTGCTTTGTTTCTTCAGTTTCTGGGGAGCAGTCATTGAACAGACCATCAGATATAATCACTATTTTAGGATACACTGTGTGGTGATGACCAATTTCTGTTGGCTTTACTGTACATCAATGAATAAAGAAAATAACATCAAACTGACATCATAGCAAGATGGCTGAAGCAATATCTACAACCTTACACTATAATCTAAATAAAATATGGCCTGTTAAAGTTTTCAGAATATGTTCAAGGTATTGAATTTACATGTAACACCTTAATTAAGACATATTCCATTTACCTGCATTTGACATTGATATATGCTTGGAGTTCAACATATTTTAGGTATCTGACATATGACAGGTATATGAGTTCACCTGTTTAGTGTTTAATCTTACTTCAGTTTTACCTCTGAGTTGTAGAAGTTTGAGTGCTGTCAGAAGACCCTGTATGATCGGGGTGCTGGTCATGTGTGGCTGGATGTATACACGTTCTACAGAAAACAGATAACTCATAACACTACAAATACACTAGAAATGAAAATCTATCAAGACAGACATGTGTAATTTTGAGAAAATAAAGTTCTCATGAATTGAAAGTACTTTACAGTATGTTGGTTAACTAAAAAGTTTTCCTAATAATACATGTAAGTATACCCAGGATTTTCTTTACTGTATCCTTGTCCCGAGTTAGATCCTGCTCCACTTTGGTCTTATCACCAATGGTTACCACAGCAACTTGACCCAAGCAATCTGTAAATTAGGGAATTATTAAAAACATTTCTTCAAAGTCACAATTCATTATATGACAACTATTTTTAGTTTTGTCTTGGCTTACTTTGTAGAACCCTCTCCGCCTCTCTCAACTGTTGCTTTATTGGGTTCCCTGCCATGCTGCGAGACAGATCCAGACACATTACAGTACAAAACTGGTCAGGCATCTCTCCCTTACCTAGCTTCTCTGTAGCTTCAAGAAGAATTATAGGAATGCATTACATTGTACAAGGATTTTCTAAAGGGAACAATATCATAAGCAGATCTGGCTTTCCACTACGGTACGTTATTTATACCGATACCTTGTGTAGCTACCTCCATGGAGTGTTGTACAACCTTGACCCCATCTTCTCCCCAGATTTTCTGTAGCTTTTCATGGAGCCCTACCATAAAAACCATCTTCAAATTGATTTTCTATATAAAGGATGCTTGAGTTGTCTGCTTCAAAGAATCTTGTAACCAAATTGAATTTTTACAAAAATTAACAAGCGTTTAATATGTATTCCAGGGATATTAAAAAAGGTTTGAATTAAAAGAAATTAAATATTAGTCCAATTCATTATTATACAGATAACTCTAGTTCATAAATATCATAAATGTATACTAAGTACTTTATTTACCAGCTATTTTAGTATCAGTATATCCTTCATCTTTTTCTGATTCCTCTTCAGCTCTGAAATGAAAGAAAATGTCTGTTGAAATTCAATAATTTTCACATTTTTTTGTTCACAATAATCACTTCTTTATTTTACAAAGAAGCAAAATTTCATTCCAAAATTTAATTTACTTTTTACTCAATCCTTGAATTGCACTGAAGAAAGCTGAGAAGTCTACAGGTTGTGACCTCTGTCCGACCTTGACCTCAGGAAGAATTTGTTGACCCTTGGCCTGGACATGTCTCACCAACTGACTAATTCTCTCTTTGCTAGAGAGGGGTTCTTCAGTTTGACGCCGGACCAATTCCTGAAAGAACAATTTTGAATCTTGTCATGGCAACTGAATGCAAGTATTACATCCTATTTAAAATAATTTAAAAGCTTTCTTCTACTTAATCTCTCGTTTTTAAGACTCTTAGTCTATATCATTTTGTGAAAATTCAGTAATTGAGTCAGTTGAAGTACATGTACATATAAAAAATGCACCTGAATAAAAACCTTTTCTTTTGATGTTCTTTTTTTTTATTTTCAAAATTGACATGAAATGAGCTTAATCACTTCATCCATTAATTTGTTATATTTGTTTCATTATAATCTTCAAATTTTATGAGGCCTTAATTGTTAAGAATTTTTCCAGGGATCTCCCCTAAAAAACTTTGCAATACATGTATTTATAAATTCCTTATCTGAGTTCACGCTAAACAAGCTTTACTGTACCTCTGATGGCTGTCTACCACTAGGTGGAGCTGCTTGAGAAGAGATGCCTTCACTCTGTAGTTTACTAGCAACACTTTCATACAGCCTTTGTTGTAACTCTGGCAACAGTTCGGCGATGGCGTCACGTAAAACCAGGATCTGTCTCTGACGGAACTGATCCAGCTCCTCGGTCACGCACTGCTGAACCTGTGCTCCGATCTGTCTCGCCAGCTGTTCCTGAGTCATTATCTCCCTTGCTTGGCCTGCTCGCAGACCGGTTAATTCATGAGATAAAAATGACTTCAGCTCCGACATCTCCCTACTCAGTCCACTGGATACTGATGGATATAAAAATGATGTTTGTAGTCACAGTTTATACTTTTACGTTGCATTTATCATTATGTAAGTAAAAATTTTTCACATTATTCATAACACTGTTCTTATCCTACCTTTCTCACTAGACATCTTATCCTCCCTGTAAAGAAATATTCATTGATAAAATAAGTATAAGTACTCCAAATTATAAATATTTTTGTAAATTCTTGGAACTCTAATGCATCAGCAAATCCTGAAGTAAAGGGCATCCTAATAAAGTGACAACCTTTTGTATAAAGTGGTGACCTCTGGGACCTCCTTGTGTGACATTGCTGCTTCTTCACTTAAGACAGTCACAGAAATGCGGACATCCTCAACCAACTCCTGTACCTTCTCAGTTACAAGTAACCTCTCCAGAAACTTCTGCAATCTCTGAATGAAAGCAGAGCAGGTGCCCCTCTCCAGCTCTTCCTGACTAGTAAATAGCACTGTGAGTTGGAGGCACCCCAGAGATATGTCTGTCAGGTGGCCCCTCACCTCCCGTAAGAGGTACCTCACCAGTTCTTGACATTTGTTGCAGCCCTTGTTCACCAGGTCCTTGAGGACCGTCCTCTCCAGGGCCTGGAGGTCCTCTGTCAGGGAGGTGGTTAACTGTACCTTGATCCTGGTCCTCAGTGCCTCCTCAGTGTCCTCAATTCCCCTCCATCTCAGTGTCACTAATGAGGAACCAGTGTGAGTGTCAACTGTCGAAAGGAAATCAGTCACAATGACACAATTATTTAAACCTTTATCCTATATATTACTCTAAGAAGAAACATCTTCAGTTCTTACAGACAAGATACAAAAATGTCTTCAACTTAACAATAATTTATCATTATCCTTTTAGATATGGACCCCATATTTGTTTCAAAGGTCCATTATACTTACATGTTCTTCATAAGTGTAAGGATTTAAAATGAATGAACACATAGGCATATCTTATTGCTGGTAAACATCTAACCTTCCAATGTCCCCTCTTTCTGCAGTTTCTCCATAAGTCCATCATTTACATGCAGCTCTACCACAACACAACATCGTCCTATCTGTATGTACTTCCCCTTCTCATGCACAAAGAAGTGAAGAGTTTTGTCCCCTGATGGAGCGCCCCCTGTGACAGAGGTGGAGGGGGAGAGGGGGACTGTGTCTGTTGTAGGGCTGGGGGTCAGGGGGTCAGACAGCTCCTGCCCTCTGTCAGTGTCACCTAAACAAAGGACAGAACAGAGGGGGGGTGACATTCAAAAATTACATTTATTACTTTATTAATAGCCAAATTAGGAATTGAGAAGTTCTTTATGCAAATAGATGAATAATTAGCCATAGTAACACTTCTTTACATTAATGATATACCCTAAAATCTTAAAAATAAGCCGCGGCTTATTTTAAGTTTTGGTAAGAAAGTGGGGGCTTATTTTTAAGACCGGCTTATTTTCAAATTGTGGCTTATTATCAATGCAAAAAACTGGTAAGAGAAGAGAGCACTCTTGTATTCATTGGCGTTTCCCGGTGTACGTTCTTTAGGATCGTCTACTTTATATTTTGAGAATGCCGATCCCGAAAAGTTAATTTAATTGTAAACAGCATATGAATTTACATGAAATATAAACTTGTTTTAAAAAAGTAAAAATAATATATAAGATATCCGCTTGCAATTGAATTACTTGATAAAAAAAATTAATCAAACAAACACATATTTAAACAACTCAATTATACGGTTCATTGAAATGTAATTACTACCAAGCCCTGCCGATCAGCAGGTTTCTTGCCTGGGGCAGTATTATCTGGCAGTTAAATACTTTACAAACAAAAACTTCTTTTTATCCATTTACTTATCTAATTATTACCACATTATAACACATCGTTAGCTTGTACAGGTCTAGATGAGATAATTATTGTTCTGACAATTTCATGAAAAAAATTCACCATTTTAGCTGGTTCCGCAATTAAGTTTTTTTTAGCCAGCGTAACATGATTACTGTTAAAAATAAATAACTTTATAAACAACCCTTAATTAGTAATTTTACATACCTTCATTAGTAGCTACAGACTTACTTCGTACTATGACTCATACTCGTTTGTACTATGTCCTATGCAGATATTGGTAAAGGTTAAATGAATTAAAGAAAGATAACTTTTTATTTTGCACATTAAATAAATATCGTCAAAGCTTTCACTCTTCAAATTTTTAAGACGAGGAAATCGTCAAACGTTTAACATCTTTCCTAAATGACATTGTCATGACCGGCTTATTTTCAAAACTGGCTTATTTTCGAGTAATTTTTAATGCAAGAAATAGGTGGCTTATTTTCAAAACCGGCTTATTATTAAATCCGTCTTATTTTCAAGATTTTAGGGTTTCTGGGTTAAAATTTAATATATGATGATCCATAACTTATTAATCAGGGGAAAGGTGATAAAGTATGTATATACAGTGGACCTTCAGATATCCGGATGCCAGATATCTGGATGCTTCAGTATCCAGACGATTTTTCATCGAAACGAAATTTTTAAATGTTATTTTGTCTTGTTTAACTGTTGATTCAGATATCTGGATGCTTCGCATATCCGGACAAATTGACTGGGAACCAAAGCGTCCGGATAAATGAGGGACCACTGTACAGGCAATGCTTTAATTCCTTTACATGTACTATCTTACATTTTGTCAGAACATTGATATAACAAATAAGAATCAGATATGAGTTACTTTAATATTGATGTCTAAGATATTACTTGAAGATTGTGTGACATTGAAGTGGAAGGCTGTATCGTCTGCACATGAGATATCTGATTCTACTGCCTCAATCTGTAGACTCAGGCTGCTGGAGCTCTGAACAGGCTGGTTCTCCCCAGATACTACAAAAAAAGTATAACATTTCATTAAGTATATCATAATCAGTCATACTGGGAAATCGATCATCTTGAAATACAGTAACACTAATTTGTAAAGGTTTAAAACTTTCTTTGCTTTGAGGAATTAAGAAACCCACAATGGAACATTCCTATCTTTGGATGACTCTTACTGTTTCAAGTGCTTCAGTCTGTCTGAAAATAGTGATCAAGTCAATTTACTTCTTGCATACAGCATGTATGCATTTTACATTTTCCAAGGAATTTTAAGTCACCTTGCCTGAGACCTCTGGTACAGGGCTTCAATCTTGTATATAACCTGTTACCTCTGTCCTCAGATACAGGACTTTCTTCTGGTATATTACGTGTCATCTCAGGTACAGGACTTCCTTCTGGTATATTACCTGACATCTCAGGTACAGGACTTCCTTCTGGTATATTACGTGTCATCTCAGGTACAGCATTTCCTTCTGGTATATTACCTGTCATCTCAGGTACAGCATTTCCTTCTGGTATATTACCTGTCATCTCAGGTACAGCATTTCCTTCTGGTATATTACCTGTCATCTCAGGTACAGCATTTCCTTCTGGTATATTACCTGTCATCTGTATCTCACCTGATATCTCAGGTATTGGACCTCCTTCTGGTATATTACCTGACATCTCAGGTACGGGACTTCCTTCTGGTATATTACCTGTCACCTCAGGTACAGGATTTCCTTCTGGTATATTACCTGTCATCTCTATCTCACCGGATATCTCAGGTATTGGACCTCCTTCTGATATATTACCTGACATCTCAGGTACTGGACTTCCTTCTGGTATATTACCTCACATCTCAGGTACAGGATTTCCTTCTGGTATATTACCTGTCATCTCTATCTCACCTGATATCTCAGGTATTGGACTTCCTTCTGTTATATTACCTGACACCTCTAACTCACCTGACATCTAAGGTACTGAACTTCCTTCTGATATATTACCTGACATCTCAGGTACAGGACTTCCTTCTGGTATATTACCTGTCATCTCTATCTCACCTGATATCTCAGGTATTGGACTTCCTTCTGGTATATTACCTGACACCTCTAACTCACCTGACATCTCAGGTACAGGACTTCCTTCTGGTATATTACCTGTCATCTCAGGTACAGGACTTCCTTCTGGTATATTACCTGTCACCTCAGATACAGGACTTCCTTCTGGTATATTACCTGACATCTCAGGTGTGGGAATTCCTTCTGGTATATAACCTGACATCTCAGGTACAGGATTTCCTTCTGGTATATTACCTGACATCTCAGGTACAGGACTTCCTCCTGGTGTATTACCTGTCACCTCTAACTCACCTGACACCTCAGGTACAGGACTTCCTTCTGGTATATTACCTGTCACCTCTAACTCACCTGACATCTCAGGTACAAGACTTCCTTCTGGTATATCACCTGACATCTCAGGTACAGGACCTCCTTCTAGTGTATTTCCTGTCACCTAAGATACAGGGCTTCCTCCTGGTATAATACCTGTCACCTCTATCTCATCTGATATCTCAGGTACAAGAATTTCTTCTGGTATATTACCTGTCATCTCTAACTCACCTGACATCTCAGGTACAGGATTTCCTTCTGGTATATTACCTGTCATCTCTATCTCACCTGATATATCAGGTACGGGACTTTCTTCTGGTATATTACCTGTCACCTCTATCTCACCTGATATCTCAGATACAGGACTTCCTTCTGGCATATTACCTGTCACCTCAGGTACAGGATTTCCTTCTGGTATATTACCTGTCATCTCTAACTCACCTGATATCTCAGGTACAGAACTTCCTTCTGGTATATAACCTGTCATAATTTCAGGTATGAGACTTCCTTCTGGTATATCACCTGTCACCTCAGGTACAGGATTTCCTTCTGGTATATTACCTGTCATCTCAGGAAGAGGACTTCCTTCTGGTACATTACTTGTCACCTAAGGTACAGGATTTCCTTCTGGTATATTACCTGACACCTCAGGTACAGGACTACCTCTTGGTATATTACCTGTCATCTCTTACTCACCTGATATCTCAGGTACAGAACTTTCTTCTGGTATATTACCTGTCATCTCTAACTCACCTGATATCTCAGGTATGGGACTTCCTTCTTGTATATTACCTGTCATCTCTAACTCACCTGATATCTCAGGTACAGAACTTCCTTCTGGTATATAACCTGTCATTTCAGGTACTGGACTTCCTTCTGGTATATCACCTGTCACCTCAGGTACAGGATTTCCTTCTGGTATATTACCTGTCATCTCAGATACAGGACTTCCTTCTGGTATATTACCTGTCACCTCAGGTACAGGACTTCCTTCTGGTATATTACCTGTCATCTCAGGTATAGGACTTTCTACTGGTATATTACCTGTCATCTCAGAAACAGGACTTCCTTCTGGTATATTACCTGTCACCTCTACTTTACCTGATATCTCAGGTACAGGACTTCCTTCTGGTATATTACCTGTCACCTCAGGTACTGGACTTCCTTCTGGTATATTACCTGTCACCTCAGGTACAGGATTTCCTTCTGGTATATTACCTGACATCTCAGGTATGGGACTTCCTTCTGGTATATTACCTGTCATCTCAGAAACAGGACTTCCTTCTGCTATATTACCTGACATCTCAGGTATGGGACTTCCTTCTGGTATATTACCTGACACCTCAGGTACAGGACTTCCTTCTGGTATATTACCTGTCACCTCTATTTCACCTGATATCTCAGGTACAGGACTACCTTCTGGTATATTACCTGACATCTCAGGTACTGGACTTCCTCCTGGTATATTACCTGTCACCTCTATTTCACCTGACATCTCAGGTACAGGATTTCCTTCTGGTATATTACCTGTCACCTCTATTTCACCTGATATCTCAGGTACAGGACTACCTTCTGGTATATTACCTGACATCTCAGGTACTGGACTTCCTCCTGGTATATTACCTGTCACCTCTATCTCACCTGACATCTCAGGTACAGGATTTCCTTCTGGTATATTACCTGTCACCTCAGAAACAGGACTTCCTTCTGGTATATTACCTGTTACCTCTAACTCACCTGACACCTCAGGTACAGGACTTCCTTCTGGTATGTTTCCAGTAACTGTTCGTTGGCCTGTTGTGATAGACCCTCCATGAGCTCTGATGCTAACATTCCTACAATTGAAAAAAAAAACAGTGACTTTAAAAAACCCTGAACAATTGCAATCAAGATATATAGCTGAATGCTTGCATGACCTTACGTGTAATGCAAAGCATTATCCTTATATTGAATCAGTTGTATAAGACTCTCGTATGAACATGTCTTTTTATAATCTGTAAATATCAGTCTTTAAAATAAGTCTATACTATAGCATACCATTTCAACTCACCTTTGGTTACTCATGGTGTATTCTTTCAGTCATTTTTCTGAATATCAATATGACATTGTTTTATAATGGAAGAATATTCATTGCTTTCCTGAAAAATGAAAATTGACTGGAATATGAAATCAAATGATGTGACCCCCCCCCCAATTACCAGCACACAAACTTTTATAACACTTTTTACCACTATACTAATTTCTATGTCTAGTAATAATGCAAATATCTTTGCAGCAAATTTAATATTAAAATACCTTCCTTTCAAAACTCACATTATGGAGAAACACTCCAGTGTATTTGGGAGTACATTGCTTTAGGACTATGAGTTGACTGTTTAAGGTCTATGAGTTGACTGTATCAATATACAGCTATACAGACTGAAATTTATAAGCATTTACATTCACTAGTTCACAACTTGGCTAGATCAGGTCCCTGTCTAGATAATCTACAGGTAGGTCCCTATACATAATTTTTCAACTTCCTTAAAAAATGAATATTCAGAGGACTACCGATCGGTTTAATTAGTCATTACCTTAATTAATTCTTAACAACATATTTGATTGTGCTATCGATAAATTAATCAATTAGTTATTAGTTGATCAGTCAAACTTAATTGAAATTTAACCAATATTAATAAATAACGAATAAATCACCTTTCTTTAGTTTAAATGTCCTCACAACATGATCAACATGCCTTCTGTTTATGAATATGACATATAACGAGAAATGAAACCGAAAGTAAACTTGAAAAATTTTGGAAAGAGACAAAAGATAAACATTATAATTCCTAAATTTGGCTAATAATCATATGCTTTTGCTTGATTTTCTCAATTTTTCTTTGATTATGAATTTCTAGTGAAAAATTTGGTGACATGTTTAAAAATAAAAATCTACTTTCGTTTTACGTTTATGCACCATAATCGTGTGGAAATCCAAAAGTCTATTGATAGAAGCACGAAAAGTTCCAAGACTAGAGATTGGGAACTTTGAAGAAATTTTTAAAAACTTGGGTAAGAGTAAAAACATAAGGCTGCATTTTGAATAGCCGACAGCAGTATAACAGCTAAGTTATAATAATACTTGGTAGATCTATTTTGATTTTTCGAAGTTTCAATATTGTAACCGTACGTACTAAATGTGATATTTTAGGGTTCTTCCTACATTGTTTCTGTATCAAGGAACATTCTATTTTCTTCCTGCTAACAGTACAATTTTTGACCATAAAAATTGATAAATGATTGCGAGCAACTTTGCGAGCGATCATTAATTTATAATTTTTGTAGTCAGAAAACTAATTTCTTACTGATTTTATGTCATTGAACGAATGAGGGTTTTTGACAGCAGTGTTAAATGGTAAATGGTGATATATATGTAAAGGTTTATTATCAATATTAACATATGTTTATAAATCATTGTAATTTTTACAGCAGTATAAAATATGGTTAAGTTAAATATTTAAGTTATATGACATATGGCTTAAATAAATTATAATTGCTTAATTGTTTTTACAGCAGTACATGGTAAAACTATAACACATGGCTGGGCAGTCTGGAGGTAACCCCATCAGGCCAGAGGCCCTCGGGGGGATAGACACTAATGCTCTGTTTGGGAATAATCCTACGGACATCTTTGGACAAGGTGGAGAAAGTGGACTGGCGGCAATGCTTCAAAGGGGTGGAGGTAAGATTTTTTTTTTTTTTTTTTTTTTATTGAAACTTTCACACATATTACAAACATTACAAACTTCTGTATGGATATATGTACAATCAAAATCAAACAAGACTAATTATTGTTGGAACATACAAAATTAGTGTAAAAGTTTATGACGAGAGAGAGAAAGAGAGAGAGGGAGGGGGAGAGAGGCAGGTAAGCATTACATATTGTGCCCTAAAACATGAGGAGGTAAGATAAGGGTGGAGGTAAGATATAGAGGGGGCTCAGAAGACTGACAGCCATGCTTCAAAGGGGTGGAGGTAAGATATAGAGGGGTGGAGGTATTAAAGATATAGAGGGGTGGAGGTAAGATATAGAGGGGCTCAGAGGTCTGGCAGAATTGCTTGAGAGGGATGGAGGTAAGATAAAGAGGGGCTCAGAAGCTTGAGAGTGGTGGAGGTAAGATATAGAGGGGCTCAGAAGCTTGAGAGTGGTGGAGGTAAGATAAAGAGGGGCTCAGAAGCTTGAGAGTGGTAAGATATAGAGGGGATCAAAAAATAAGAAGTTTGACAGCAATGCTTGAGAGGGGTGGCGGTGAGATATGTAGGGGATCAGAAGTCTGGAAGCAATGCTTGAGGCCAAAATAAAATTATTGTTTGTTTAGACATTGCCTCCCGCCTCATTGAAATGCCCCCACATGAAAAAATTTTATTGACCAAAAGTAGGAAGATTTTTTTTATAAATTTAATCAATTTTCTGCCCATTATTACATGCGTCGTAAAAAACACAGAAATGTGATGTCAGATCTATGTTGATGGTACATATAGATACTTTTTTAAAAGTCAGAAAATGTATTTACTATCAAAAATGAGAAAAATATCTTCACTTTTGAAAAAAAAAAATTTCCCTCCCTCCTGTGTCTGAAACCCTTCAGTCGGCAATTCCAAACAAATAATTTTTAGCTCACCTGAGCCGAAGGCTCAAGTGAGCTTTTCTGATCACATTTTGTCCATCGTCTGTCCGTCCGTCTGTAAACTTTTCACATTTTTGACTTCTTCTCAAGAACCAATGGGCAAATTTTAACCAAACTTGGTACAAAGCATTCTTGGGTAAAGGGGAGTTTAAATTGTCAAAATGAAGGGCCAAGTCTACTTACAAGGGGAGATAATCCAGAAAAGACAAAAATATGGTGGGGTCACTAAAAAATCTTCTTCTCAAGAACCACTGGGCCAGGAAATCTGAAACTTATGTGGAAGCATTCTTGGGTAGTGTAGATATTAAATTGTTAAAATTATGACCCCCGGGGGTAGGGTGGGGCCACAAAAGGGAATCCAAGTTTTACATAGAAATATATAGAACAAATCTTTTAAAATCTTCTTCTCAAGAACCACTGGGCCAGGAAAGCTAAAACTTATGTGGGAGCATCCTTTCGTAGTGTAGAAGTCTAAAGTTTTAAAATAAAAAAGGGAAGGGGGTTGTTAGGCATGATTGGTATAGCAAGAGGGGGAATCTGGAAAAGATCTGCATCACCCAAGTTATTCAGGTAAGCGATATGGCCCATGGGCCTCTTGTTTAAGGATGGCCTGAGAGGGATGGGGGTAAGGAAGAGGAATACATAATATCATGAGTATATATCTCAGTTATTTAACTTACTACTGCTCTTTTGTGGGGAAGTTGAGAAAACTCTAAATCTGGTGAGATTACTGGGGCACATGGCATATAGTTTACAGTAGTGCATGACAATAGAATGATTCAAACAATTTTATGTCAAAATTACAAAGTATTGCCAAGAATTGAACTCAAAATAGTAGATTGTCAAATAAGGAAAGTTTAAAATATTTTCTTAGCTTTAAAATGTGACAATTTTCAATGAAAATTTAATGAGAAGAGCCTGCTTTAAGTTAAAAACATCGTAAAAAATGTAACATTTTAGGATAAATATTTTTACTTTAGATTTTAAACAGTATTAGGTATGATAAAAAGGAGGCACCCAATAGCATCCACAAGTCATTTTTTATATTTGATATTTACCACATGTATTATGTACTGTCTTAAAGCATATGGAGAGTAGAAAAAGAAAATATAACATTTTGGTTTTCTTGTCATAAGTTGTTACTAAAAATAGACAACTAAAAAGTAGTGCTTGCACTTTTTTGTGTGACCATTTTGTTTTTCAAAGTAGATGGTTTTGAATGAACAGCAAATACTTTGAAAAATTAGATCCTAAATCAAAATAATATGTTTGTTTGTAAAAGACACTTTAATATGACAAATTAATTATTTTATTGATCGTTTCACTTCCTCTACCACAATGCATCACAAGTAAAAATACGTATTATTGCGCCAACGTTAACACTTACAAAAATGACGTCAACATTTTTTACTCTAAAAAGGATTAGGATGAAGGGAAAAATAAATTATCAAATAAATGCACTTTAGCTGAATTCTTTTTTGTGTGTGCAATAGAAGTTTAAAACATAATTCTTAAATCTTTGACAATTTCTCTGTACTCTTGCATGTAATGTTTAAAAAGTACATGTTTTAAACGTATGGTATCTACTGGTAATTTCCGGCACTTTACAGTTATAAAAGCAGTTGAAATACAAAAGATTAATCTTTTCTTGTAATAGCGTTTAGGTTATATAAAAACAATCAAATAGATTATATAAAAACAATCAAATAACAGAGGCAATCAATGTAAAAAAATGTAGTAATTTGATTTTCATGGTTAATTTAAACAGATTTCAGAACTTTTAATAGATTTGACAAAAGTTCCTTATGTGTCAATGTTTGTCTTTTTCCATCATGACTCTTTCTAGAAAATGAGAACAGTTTTTGTTCAAGAACATTCTGCTTTAAAACATTTTTACGGTACCGGAGCTGCGCTTTCAAAGCATTGACTTTGTCTGATGTGCGTCCATACTCCTTTATTCTCAATTTACACTCGCGGGCTGATTTCCATAAACCATAGAAAATAATGTCATCACTCTGTTTTTCCAGTTGCACTTGTTTTCTTCTCTTTTTTTCAGCTCTTTTTCGGAACTCTTCTTCTTGTTTCTCCTCTCTCTGTCGTTGAATTTCTCCTTTTCTTTTTGAGAATAAATCTCTTTCAGTAGAAACGGATTTTCTAGCTTCCGAAATAAGGTCTTCCATATCCTCTTTGTTTCTTATTATCCATGTGGATGTCTTGTTCATTAGGAAAAGTGTGTAAGCCTCAAGAGCTAGAGCTGATATATTAGGTTTAGCTCTTAAAATTTGGTCCATGTACGCGAACAGTCGCTCGGAATAAGAATTATATTTGTCCACACTCTTGGTAGCCAGTGAGAGTTCCTCAGTAAAAGTTTCATATTTACCATCTGGCAAGTGGTCTTTATAGACATGCAGTACTACTTTCCGGATCGCTGGTAACAGGACACGTAGAATGATTTCCACATCAGTATCATAATTAGACTCTTTGGTCAGGAATTCAAAAACTCTGTCGCCATTAAAGTCTATTCCTGTTAAAGCTGGAAAGGTTCCCTTTATAAAATCAGCTAGATTTTCAGTTACATCCGCCAAATAAGTTGATAGATGGAGATAATTTTGTGTCATGTCTTCAATTGATGTATCCTTGTTCTCGAGAATATTCCAAAGGGGTGTTGTAGTCATCTTTGAAATCAATCCCAGGGCTTTCAGTCCGGCAACATAAAAAGACACTTTAAGATCTGAGAGAACAGACTTCAGAAGTCTTTTATTTTCAATATCTGATTTCTCCAGAAATTCAGTCATGTGAGGATGTAGAAAGTATAGGCATGCAGCATTTTGAAATAAAATGTTGAATCTGTGGCCCTTAAATGGTTGCAGAGGAAGTGAGATCATTCTGTTTTCAGTAAAAAATGTTCGGAAGGCCCCATAACACCCACACTTTTCATCACCTCTTCTTGCAAAAGCCTTGCATGCACTTCTTATTAAGCGAAAACAACCTGATTCATCAATTTTAGAGAAATTCTCATCAAAAATTGGTGGGTTTCCATCGAAATTTCCCTTTTCTGCTTCACATAATCCCTTCTGGGCCTCATTCGCCATATGTACCAGGCCATGAATACCGCAGAAGAAATTGTTCAGTCTGCTAACTGTTTCTTTTTCAACATCATCCAATGCGTGGTAATCTTCCCGTATCTGTGGTAGAAGCTCTTCTCTGTAACTTTCTAATAGCTCATTAAACTTTAATTCTGTAGGGGCACGATCACTCATCGTATTTTGGATATTGCAGATAACTTTGTTTCCAATATTCTTCTGGGTTTCCTCGCTGTTGTCAGAAATATCCTGTAAAATTTCTTTAAATGTGTCCAGTGTGTTTTGTGCTGATTTTGTGGCCATTTCACGAAGTCCTAATGCAAAATAATTACCTTCTTCATCACGAACAGAAAACCCACCATATTTAATGCCAAACTTCGATGTCTCATCAGTGTGCAAGGTGGTGTTGATTTTTTCTGACAGTTCTTCTTGTAGTTGTTTTTTGGCTAGACAGAGTCTTTGGATATTCATATTAACAACTGTCGATGGGGATGGTAGTCGGTCAGGTTCTTTTCCTGCTAACTTCAAACAGGTTTCTATGGTTGGTCCTAAATCAAAATATGAACGTTTATTTAAAATGTACATTTACTTTATGTAGGTGAATACATCAAGTAAACAACTCAAAATTTAAAAAAAAAAAAAAAAAAAAAAAAAAAAAAAAAAAAAAAAAAAACTTACCAATTTTAGTTGATGGGACATTGTGTTCGAGAAGAGAGTACACACACAAATGAAGTTCTGGAGTAAATGCTTTCTCTTTCTTGTCAAATAGATTGATGACTTTGTTGTCAGTCAAATTATGCAGCTGCTCCACAAGATAGGAGATTTCATCATCCTTTTCCTTAAGGGTATGCTGAAGATCATTGACAGTGACTCTGAGTTGGTCATTTTCAGCTTGTAGCTCATTTAGAAGTGCTTGGTAGTCTTCTTTAGATGTGTCATCTGATGTTTCCAATTTTGTACACTTAGTTTTCCAGTAGTCCTCTCTCCGTTTAGTGCGTTTGACAGCTTGATTTGATGATTTCAGTTTCTCATGTAGCACTCTATTTTGCTTTATTACATCTTCTGATTTAATGTTAAGTGTCTGCATGTGAGATATTGTTTCAGTCAATTCAGACTTTAGTGCTATTTTCTCGTTAGTCAGATTCTGGTTTTCCATGAACACTGAGTTTGAAATGGACATTGCAGTAGAAAAGGCATCACCGCTAGAACTGATCAGATATGTAGCTTCGGGCATTTTGGGAGTCACTGTATTTGATACTTTAGGTGGAGCAAATTCTGTTTCTAGGAACTCTGTAAGCTTTCTGCTACCTTCAGATTTAGATTTGTTTTTTCTGAATTTTTCATATTCTGACCACAGTCGCCTAATAGCCACTCTAATTGATGTCGGATTAAAGTTATCAGAATGTGACACAATCCATTGGGCAGTTTCGGATACGCTATGTGCTCTTTTAAAGTTAATGACATCAGAATTTAAAATCCTGGGAGTAGTGCAGGACATCTTATGGTCAGCTTGTTGAATAATAATAGCGATGAGACAAATTTTCCACCAAGTTCTAAAAAATATTCACATTATTTTTAAGGATTTCAAAATATTTATTTTTCTTAGTAGAAATTCGATTGCATTATTCGAAGGATAGTGGAGTATTCAGACCATTTTTTTTATTTAAATCTCATCGATAGCGTATTTATAAATCAAAAACCCTTTTCGTAAATTTATGTAAAAAATGACATCAAATGCCTATACTAAATAATTTTTACTTTAAAATGTATCTTCTTCCTTATTTATAGTTTTTACAACTATATTTACCAAGACCTCCACAGCATAACCCCCCCCCAAAAAAAATAAATAAATAAATTGTTTGATGCACTTTAAACGACCAGTCTAAAGTGCCCTCTCCCAATATTTTTTTTTAATACTCCAATTTTTTAAAAAGGATATTAATGTATTTTTTACAAATATTTTTTTATAATAAGATGTGTATGTAGTATTTACTTTATTTCTCTAATTGACAAAAATGACATTAGAATTTTAAGGATTTCTTCAAAGTGCTAAGACGACTTTCATGTGTCTGCTCATACTCTTCAGTTATTATTTTTAGGAATCCAAAAATACATTCAATGAACCACTGTTAACATTTTTTTTTTTTGCAAGAAAGAAAAGGTGAAATAACTTTCATAATTTATTAATGGTGAGTTTTTTTTTCCTTTTGAAAACTTCCACTTCCATGAGTACATTGTACCTTAATTTTTCTTGGCATTTTAAGCTACTTAAACTCTGAAATATTAAATATTTCATTTAACTGCGTATTTATTATTTATTTGAACATGTTTAAAATTTACCTGTTAACTCTCTTTTTTCAATAGTGCATAAGTCAGTGTAATTTTACTAATTTATATAATCAAACCAGGTACCATTTTTTTATCATCTTCCTTTTTGTTGAATTTATGATTTAAATTATTTTTTCTTTCTGTTTTAAAATATTTTTTATAAAATCATTAAAGCATTTTATCTTTTAAATTCCTATGTCAAAAAAAAAAAACTTCTGGTAATACACTCTATTATTGTATTTGCTTTATACAAAATCATTGAAGAGGCGACAATATCAGTGAAAAGAATTTAATACGGCATAATTTAATAATAATAAAAAAAATTCCCCATGGGGCACCCCATATTCAAGCTATGAAGAGTTGTTCCCCTTAAGATATCCATGGATACTGTAAACAAACACAGTAGGCCTAACCCAAGCTAGAGATTTCGTCAGTTTCGTTGACGGCGTCAATTTCTTTAATGAATTTTAAAACATGTGTAGGGTTATTCTAAAAGCGCTCCTTAGCGCGGGGGTTTATTAAGATACCATGCATATTAATTTGAAGAGGATTAAATTCTGAATCGATCTAATGTTGTTACACATATGCAACCTGTTCTAGAATAGGGTGAAAATTTTGTCTAAAAACTACTTACTTTATGCAGTCTTCTATCATGGTAATATTTGCATCTGTAATGGGTTATTTGGTATCATTTTGTTCTGTAACTTCTCCAGCGTCTGTTTTTATAAAAGAAAAGTCTCACGCACCTTTGTTGTCCTGGAAACAGCGGAATGAAAAAGCGCGACAATTACTACCTACTATATTTCAGGTGTAAGTTTTGCATTCAAACGCATTTTTCATTTGATGTAAATATAAATATAAGAGAGGTTAATAAATATAATAAAATATATTTAACAAAGTTTAATAATTTTTTTCATATCTTTATTCTTGAAATAATCATTGAGAGCGGAAAAACAGTAAAATTGGGGGGTTGAAAAAGCATTGTTTTGGTAAGAGTCACATAGCGTTACGTAATGACGTGACTTGACTTGTGGATGCTACACCCAATAACATTTTAGAACTAGCTCTTAATTCTCAAAAATTAAATTAGGCTGGTTCAGTGATTCTTTAGCAAAGTATTCCAGGATTTTTTACTTTTTTTTCCTTATAAATTCTACAATGATCAATCTTGCATTGTATTCACTAGAACATTTGCCCCCATCCAATAGATATTTCCTACCTCCATCGTGAAAGAGTTCCGCTAAGTGAAGTAATCATGATATCTAGTATTGGGTCTAGTTATAGATACAGGAGGTTATGATGAAAAGTTATAATGAAGTAAGACATGCAAAAGTTATGATGAAGGCATGTCTAGAGAGAGAGAGATGGAGGGGGGGGGGGGGTAGTGTAGGAGAGAAGCATAAAAATAACTGGCACATAGCAGATCTCGAGAGGAAGATCATGAAGATACTTACAATATATAGGGGGTCAAAGTGGTAGCAGCAGTTTTATTGAAGGGAGTGGGAGGAAAGAGAATGGGGTGCTAGCATAGTATTACAGCAAAGTAGTTCAAAGGGACTGGGAAGAGGAGGTATAAACAAGGTCAAAATTCTAGTAGAAGTTGTGAGAGGAAGTAAAACAGAGGTGGTCAAAAGTCGGTCAGCAATTGTAGGGAGAGGAGGACGTAAGAAGAACAATTCTAGAGAGGGGGATGTTGGAAAGATAAAAAGGGTTAAAATTTATAGTCTGTGTCACAGTTTATGAAGTAGATAAAATATATGACCTTGATGGCAAAACATCAGATTCATGAACTAAATAGTAAGATTTGTTATCTCAGAGTATATTCCGAACATCAACTTCCTTGTCTTGCAAAGCTGGAACTGGAAGATAAATTATTTTTTTCATTTTCAGTACATACATGTAACGGGACAGACTCAAGTTCTTGTGTGTAACATTTTCAGATTTTGTTTTTGTTTGTACATATACATGTATATATGCAACTACTAAGTTCATTGGATTGTAAGATTTCTTTTCCTGAATATAGCAGTCATTTTAATGAATTAAGTTCTAAAGAACTTGATCTACTTGATTTAATGTAGTTGGAGAAGAAGGAATGGGAAATCTACAAGGTCTTTTGAATCAAGGTCAATCTGGAGGTCAAGGTAACCAGATGTTTAACCCTTCCATGGCTGGAGGTTTAGGAGGGAATTTAGGAGGTGGACAGAACATGTTTGACCCTGCCATGTTACAAGGTTTGTTTCTGCCACCAATCTGAATTTTCTACAGTCCAAAAAATCATGACTCTATATCAGTTATTTCTTTTGTTATAAGTCTGTTTATAATCACTGTAGTTAAATTGATTTGACATTTTTCAGTTCAGTATCATTAAGTCATATTAACTATTTAAGAAGTCAAAAGAATATTAAGTAATTTCTATTTAATATTTCATTACCATAGGTTAATTAACTATCTGGTGACTGTGACATCTTTACATGCTTATATTTGCCCTTTTGCTTGAAATGCATGTATTTTACTGTATAAAGTTTAACTATTCTCCAGTAAATGCACCACTGGACACATAATTAGAGTCTGTAAACATTCACAGATCCTTTGTATTTTTCTTCATGTTTTTGATTCCCTGCACATGCAGACATGTTTATTGAAGATATCTATAAATACAAGTGAAGGATTTATTTTTTAGGATTAGGATTGGGAGGAGGTGGAGGATTAGGAGGAGGTGGAGGATATGGAGGAGGGGGAGGATTAGGAGGAGCGGATCCCAATGTACTGAGTAACCTGCAGGGAATGTCAGAGGAGGACCGTAAAGCTGTACTGGCTGCCATGCAGGGGGAGGATACCCCCTCACAGTCTAGTAATATGGCTATATTAAGTTTTCTACATACAGAGGTACCTTATGCTATAGTTTTTTTTCTTGATCAAATCACACTTTTTTTAAACAGGAGGAGGAATCCCAAATCTTGGAGGTGGTGGGATTCCAGGATTAGGAGCAGGTGGCATGGGATTAGGTGCAGGTGGCATGGGATTAGGAGCAGGTGGTATGGGACTAGGAGCAGGAGGTGGTGGGATTCCAGGATTTGGTGGCACGGGATTAGGAGGTACAGGACTGCCTAATATGGGAGCAGGATTACCTGGACAAGGTACTTAAAGTATACTGTATAAGTGGAAATTTTAGTGAGATGCAAATTTAGCATTTTGTCCTTAGAAAGAGCAAGAGCCATCTTATGCATAAAATGGCCCTGTACTTATATCAATTAATTATAACTATCACCCTATTTCCCATTTCATATCAAAATAAAGTAGACACTTGGTGCTTTCATTTTCTATAATTAGAAAATTTCATTTTGAGGATCCAGATTTTGGAAAACAGGTTTGAGAAGTTGCAGTGTTCTTGAAATTTTCAGAATACATGCGTATTTGACTACCTTCAGCAAAGAATTAAAATATAAGCACAGCCCACGATCCAAAAAATAAAACATGTTTTTTGATCTTCAGAAACAGAGCTTTCATTATGTATTTGCGTATTTTGGATCAGAAGTTGTGCTCGATATGAAATATTAAACAAGAGGCCCAGGGGCCACAGCGCTCACCTGAGCACATCAGGCTTGAATTTACTTCACCCCCCCCCCTTCCAGGTGTTCATCATTTGAACAAACTAGAATCTACACTACCTGAGGATGATTCTATATAATTATAACTAATCATAGCTTTGAAGTACTTGAAAAGAAGATTTTTAAAGGTTTCCCTATATATCCCTATGTAAAACTTGGGTCGGCCATTTTGGCCCCACCCTAGCCCCATGGGTCATGATTTGAACAAACTTGAATCTGCACTACCTGAGGATGATTCCACATGAGTTTCATCTTTCCTGGTCCAGTGGTTCTGGAGAAGAAGATTTTAAAAGATTTTTCCTATATATTCCTATGTAAAACTTGGGTCGGCCATTTTGGACCCACCCTTCGCTCTGGGGGTCATGATTTGAACAAACTTGAATCTACACTGCCTGAGGATGATTCCACATGAGTTTCATCTTTCCTGGTCCAGTGGTTATGGAGAAGAAGATTTTTAAAGATTTTTCCTATATATTCCTATGTAAAACTTGGGTCGGCCATTTTGGCCCCACCCTTGCCCCAGGGGTCATGATTTGAACAAATTTGAATCTACACTGCCTGAGGATGATTCCACATGAGTTTCATCTTTCCTGTCCTAGTGGTTCTGGAGAAGAAGATTTTTAAAGATTTTTCCTATATATTCCTATGTAAAACTTGGGTAGGCCATTTTGGCTCCACCTTTGCCCCGGGGGTCATGATTTGAACAAACTTAAATCTGCTCTACCTGAGGATGATTCCACATGAGTTTCATCTTTCCTGGTCCAGTGGTTCTGGAGAAGAAGATTTTTAAAAATTTTTCCTATATATTCCTATGTAAAACTTGGGTTGGCCATTTTGGCCCCACCCTTGCCCCGGGGGTCATGATTTGAACAAACTTGAATCCACACTACCTGAGGATGATTCCACATGAGTTTCATCTTTCCTGGCCCAGTGGTTCTGGAGAAGAAGATTTTTAAAGATTTTTCTATATATTCCTATGTAAAACTTGGGTTGGCCATTTTGGCCACACCCTTGCCCCAGGGGTCATGATTTGAACAAACTTGAATCCACACTACCTGAGGATGATTCCACATGAGTTTCATGTTTCCTGGCCCAGTGGTTCTGGAGAAGAAGATTTTTAAAAAATGCCAATAATTTTTAACAAATTCATGATTGGAAAAGGGCGTGGCTTTCATTTGAACAAAATTGAATCCCCTTCACCCAAGGATATTTTGTGCCAAGTTTATTTAAAATGGGCCCAGTGGTTCTTGAGAAGAAGATGAAAATGTGAAAAGTTTACGACGACAACGACAACGACAGACAACGGACAAATTTTGATCAGAAAAGCTCACTTGAGCCTTCGGCTCAGGTGAGCTAAAAATGCTTCAACTTTAGGCCATTTTCAAAGGAATTTACAGGATATGAGGAAAATGACGCATTTTATGATGTCATAATGCATTGACTAGATGGGAAATTACGTCACGATTAATAGATTCGTGGTCAACAACACTCCAAGTGATAAATACTGTATTTGCAACCTAAACTGATCGGTTTTCATTTTTCAGAAATTCTCAGGGCCAAATAAGGCCCACGGTGGCTCTTCGTACTGTATAATACCTATTAACCACCCGGGCGCTTAGAAAAGAAGGGGGCGGTTATTTTGGTATTCTCTTTGTAATATTTGATATCATATCTTAACTTCAAAAAGTATTTAATAAAATAATAAATTCAAAGAATCTCCAAAATAATGTCTACGTTTACTTAAAATGAAGATAATCCACCCAAATTATGCTACATGAATCATTTTCCACCAAGAAATTGGATAATAAACAAGTTTCATTTTCACTTTCATTAAATTTTGGTAGACTTTTATTACAATTCTTGATAATTTTAATCAGGGGGCCCTTATTTCCTGACAATTGAAAAAGACCTAAGGGGGCGTTTAAAGGGGCAGGGGCGGTTAATAGGGATTATGCAGTATTTTATTTTAAGCGAGATGTAATTTTAGCAATTTCTAAAAAGCTCACTAAAGAAACTATTACAAATATAGTGCAATTAATTTTTAGCAATATTCAATTTTAGCAATCTTGGAAACTTAGCTAATAATGCCAAAATTAAATTCTTGCTAAATATTCTGCTTATTATATAGTATTTACTAGTATGATTGTTTTTTGAAGGAGCATGCAATGATTGAAGTGTTTTCAAATTCTTCAATTCATTAAAATGGGAAGTGTATATAAATTTATTTACTTGAAAACAGGAGGAAGACCGGGAATGTTTGGAGGTCAAAGACTCCCAGGAAATGTACGACCAAGGACACGTAAGTCACCCACAGGTCAAGGTTAAAAGTTCATCAGGAAGAAATGACTTCACAATAAA